TGATCAGAATACTGAAGATGGTTACTTCGATAAAAACCGACCAGAAGGTTACACTGATGATGAAGATGAGGAGAGATCATCAGACCCTAAATGGCGCAAAAATAGGGGACGTTCGAACAGAAGGCGGGCAAAGCAGACCGAGTCGAAGCGCACGAAATCCCGTCCTAGTGGGCTGAGACGCCGGCGGAGATGGGGATAACGTATTTCAAAAGTCGAGGTAAATTATAAAGGAAAGTCCTCAGCTGATAATATAAATTTGTTTATTGTCTCACGACAAAGTCAGTAGATTTTTTTTGTTATTAATATTATCATTATTATTTTTATTGTTATTAATATTATCATTGTTATTTTTATTGTTATTAATATTTTCATTATTATTTTTATTGTTATTAATATTTTCATCATTATTTTTATTGCTATTAATATTTTCATTATTATTTTTATTGTTATTAATATTATCATTGTTATTATTATTTCAACAGATTTATCAGCACAATCCAAACTCGACGACCAATAGACACCTTCAATCAAAAATATCCATTTCTGCACGAATACAAAGCTATCATATAGTAAAACTTTTAGAGATCAGCTTATATATATATACCATAAAATAAAAATTAAAGTGATGTCTTTTGTTCTTATGCGAATTTTGTTTAAAAATAAAAGCCATTAACAAGAACTTTGCCTCGATCCCTTCTGTGCTCAAAGGCGGTAAGCTTTCCTTATCTTTCCAGACGTTTTGACCCCTTCCAATAAAAAAAAAAAAAAAAAAAAAAAAAAATCAGTGCTTACCATAAAAGTTACTTTAAATGCAATAGTACTTGAGGCACTTATTACGTGTTTTATTTCATTTAACGCAATGTATCTTTTACCACCAAGTGAAACAATGTATTTTCTCATTGTGAACATCGATAATAGACAATATAAGACTTCCCACATTCCTCAAATGTTCTTGATATAAGCTCCTAGTAAGAATCAAGCTCATCGAAATCTGAACAAAGAGCCTACGGGAACGATGGAAAATATCTTGAGGCGCTGCCTTCTGGATTTGTCACATTTTCAAACGCGGAATACGATATAAAGAAAGAGAGGAAAAAAAACACTATGTGAAATTGGAATAGTCCTGGTGAGCAAAACTAGCGTTTAAGGTTCTTCGAGAATGAATGGCTCTCGGTGGTTTGCTTATGCTTGGAAAATTTTAAGGGAGCATTGCATGATATCCCAAAGAACGTCTAAGACCACAAAAACCCCCGCGATTGAACCCCAGGAAAATTCATCAAATCTGAAAAGTATCTTAAATTTTGTTTTGTTTTTGTTTTTGTTTTTGTTTTTTCTCTGGAAAAGAGCTTCTAAACGATACGATCTTTTTAACCTTACCGTTGAAAATTGCATATATCAGATACGAAAACAACACAATCTTTACGAGCGCAATCACCTCGTAGATAAACTGCTAAACAACCAAATTTAGAAGCACTCTAGATAATAAGGGAAAAAGGAAATTGCTACTTCAAAGCCAGCGCGCTATTTAGCGCCCACTTTCGAGAACTAAATTGTCCACATCGCACTAGTGGTTTTAAATTGTAGTTTAAATATTCATGAACGCTAAGATGAACAAAATAGTAAAGCTTATTTATCTACGCAATTTGGCTAAGGGTTGCTAAACGTTTTTTGACTTACGGACTAAACGTCGAGGGCTACAAAGGGACGAGAGCGATTGTAAATAACACATATAAGGCTTTATAATGTAGGGTGAGTGCATAAGTAGAATTAGTTTACTGTTGTATATCAGTTTTTTTATAACATCATTCATTTTGGAAACATGTACACACAATGACATTTTTTTTTTATCTGGTTACCATATCACCATAACATTTTATTATCCAGCTTACATGAATTATTTATAGCAATAATAAAGCACGAGTTCAAATTTCCCGCGATATTGTACTGGTTATTTCCACAACCGATCATTTTGTACTGTAAAAAGTCAATCCGATATCCAAGCGTTACGCAGTATCTGTCACAAACTGCTTCTCTATTTACTTTTCTTTCCCTGTATTATAATGTACCTAAAATAAGTGGTCGGATAATGAACACCTTCGTAAAAGTTTTGATGTGAAGAACCGCTGAGTATTGTTACACGTTCTTTGGGCTCTTTAAAATACGTTGCAAAGGAAGAAAGGTATCGACGCTAATTTATTCCATCCTTATTTACTGATGTTTTAATTTAAGCAACTGTCCATAGCCCATGCCACCTCAGAAAAGACGACTAAAAAACTGCGGCGAGATTAGAACTCTATTGGTGAAATATTTGATAGTTGCACTTTTCACTTCCCCTCCTTCCCCTCATTACAGCAAAGCGTGTCAACACGGAACACCAAGAGGCCATGCTTTCATTTTCTTTTGGCATAGGAACTCTTGCTTTCCTTCAACTAATTAATATTAAAAATCACAGTTTATTATCGAGTTCACGCCATCAACTCAATATTTTACCGGGGGAAAAAAAATGAACAGCCGCCTCGAAAGAAGTAAACTATACTCGTGTCAGTACCTAAAACTTTTTTCATTCTTTAATATTTTCTTACAATTGCGCGTATACAAATCCAATACATCTTAAGATAATGTATTACACTTGCTTTCTCATTCAATTTGTCATTAAAAAGCTTTTCGGGGATTACATATGGGATTTAAAGGCCAATAAACATGTGCAACGATGAGCATATTGGAAGGTATGTTGCCTGATCATACATTTGAGAGAAACAGTTCATTTTTGTGGTGTGATCGATCGTGAGAGTGTCACTGTTGTAGGGCGTGCCAACTGACGATTGGACAACTTAAGTAAAAGTGGGAAGTCATCATCAGAAAATGACCAAAAGCGATCGGAGACGAAAATAGATATTTTTTTAACTCTTGACAAAAAACTCCAATATTCAGGCCAAATGACTGAAAAGTTGAGGAGATTAATTTTCCATGATACGGTTTAAGATTGATAACAAGTGTAATGGCTGTCAAAGGTTAATTTTTTCAGAATGTCGCCCTCTTCTCTTATTTATCAGTGCTGACCACTTTGAATTCTTGAAATCAGAGATCTCGGAAGTAGAGATCTGCTAAAACATGATGCAAACGTGAACGCGAGAAAGTGCGCTCAGGAATATCAGCGTCTCAAATAAATTCGTGATCGAGCACTTTATCTGTTGATAAAGAGGGCTCTTAGAGCTCGAAATCAATATGAAAATCAATCACTTGTACCTACTATCGAAGGATATGAAATGCACCGTGCACCACGACGCACGAGTCTCCGACGTGGGCTCATCAAAATTCAATACAAAGGAAAAAAGGGCATCGATGCTTAATTATCATTAACATTTATTGATATCCAGTTTTTAGAAAGAGAAAGCTGACAGAATAAATTGGAAACAGAAACGAACTTGGTTGGAGAAATCTTGCTTGGTCTCGCATGCATTTTTCTTTCTCTCTTCCTTCGTTTCTTTGCAGAATAGCGTGTCTTCATTTTCTCTTGGAGGTCGTCAGAGTTACTAAGTATCCTAATATTACCGGCGCCAAATATAGATCTTTTTCCTCTCACTCTTGACGTAAAGTTTCGTTTTCAAGCCGAGGTGATCGTGACTGAATAGTCGAGGAAACATTTTTCAAACCATATGCTTAAGGCTACCAAGAAGTGGAAAGACTGACGGACTGAACGCCAAGAACATTCGTGCCTTGGCTGGGAGAATTAGTTTATTTTTAAGAATGTCGTCCTCTTCTGTAATAAGTTTGATTTAGAGATACTCGAATGCAGAAATCTGCCTAAGCACGACGCAAATGTGGACGTGACATTGTTTACCACTGTAAAATAGTGCACTCATATCTGGCGACTCCTTAAATAATATTATGTTCGTGTTTTGCTGTTACACACTCTACTAAAAAAAAAATATAATAATAAACACGGGAAAATATATAGCTCAAAGCTTCAAAGCCAGCCTCTTTTTAGCTCTTTAAGAAAATGAATTGTCATTTTAACTATAAAATGTTTGGGAAACAAACAAACAATATAAATGCTTGCTTCGTTCTTGCGCCTTGCAAGTTAAGTAATGTTCACAATATGGACAGTCAGAGAACGGGCCTTTATAAGGACTTCCTTCTCCATGCTGGGGTAATGACCGGTCTAGAACTGACGTATAGAAGTCTTTCTGATACTGGTTGAATGTGTTAAATGAATTTGTACTTTACATCATTTCAGTCGATAACATGACATCACCCAGTTTCTTGGAATGAAGTGATATATTATCCTAGTATATACCACACGAGTGGATAGTGCTTTTCACGCGCGTTGATCGGCTGAAGTGACCGGAAGTGATTTACAAGTACTATTCGCCTCCAAGCAGCCAAAGAGACAACATCGCGCATCAACAATTCAATCACCAATCACCAACCATATATATATCGGCCTTCTGGGCCTCATCTCATATATATATTTATATATACCACTATTCACCTTCATTATTGTGAATAATTTAACATTGGAGCGTTTTCAAGCTTTAAATGAACTTAAAGTATTGCTTGAATGGCCGAGAACATTCCATATCTAGGGGTAAATAAACAGTTATCGTTTTCATCACCTAAAAGCCACATAATTGAAGGCGGTAAAAGGCAACGGATGACTCGGTTATTCATCAGGAAGTGCTCTTCCTGTCCTTTGTTATTGACACGGTCTGTTTTAAGAAACAGGTTTTAGAACAGATATTAAGTTCGGAAAACCCACGATCGCCTAATTTGCAGAACGTTTTCACGCCAGAAGCAATGTTTTGGTCAAATATATCCTGGCGGTTGGCTACATCTAAAAAACAAAATTCGATATCGGTGAAAAGAAACTCTTGATATCTTGATAAATTAGGCTCCTCTAAGACGATTACCAAATATGGAAATCACCTTCTTATTCTTGTTATAAAAGGGTACAAAATGTACCATGCGCCTAAGCGTGCGACTCAGAAGAAGGGAGGACTTCGCCATGAACAGCTTCCTCCTTATCGCTGTGTATGGAGCGACTCTTGCTATCGCTTTAGCATTTACTTTTACTGAATACGGAAACGAAAAGAACACGACAGGCTATAAAAAGTCTCATGATGACTTTGAATCGGAATTTGAAGATGCTTTAAGGTACTGTAGTTAAGTAGAAATTCACTCTAAAAATCACATTTATCACCACCAATTAAGCACACAGGCGAGAAGAGATTTCAGCCTCATCGAATTTGACTTCGACCGGTATGAAAAAAACAAAAATGGGCTCTGAGAAGCTATATGATATTTGGAGAATTAAGATGGCCTAACTTTACAAACAACTTATTCAGCTCTATCAGTAATGTTGAAATAGTCTTTCTTAGAATTTGTCATTCTTTGTGTGGTAGCCAACTTGGTTAGCTGAGGTAGTGAAGTTTCATATGTGTAGCGAACTTGTGGCAAACATCAAGCGAAACCGATGTAAATTCATCATACTCCCAAAAACTATGCTTATTTTAGAGACGACTTCTCCCGCATTAGATAAACCTTAGACAGTGCAAGTCTGCTGGGAAATGCGACGATGGGTGGCATAAATAGCTCGTTGGATATAAACGATATATCGAGGAAGCAAAATTGTTGTTGAGCTGAAGCGATATATATCGTTTGGCTTAAAGGATATATCGCTATATATCGAAAACGATTATTTGCTTGGAGCTTAAGGATGGATCAGCGATTTGTAACGGCTGTTGTTGGAACAATAGCCCTGCGATACATCGCCAATCTATCATTCCAATTGAAATATTGTTCAAATATTGCTGATATATCGGGATTATCGCAATAACGACGAGTATCGTTTGCGCAGTACCGTAATATCACAAAATGGAGGCGTTTTGAACCGAATGACTAACTGGGTTAATTGGCTTTATCATAGAGTAAAAGGATACAGCAACCACAGGAGATTAAAAACTGTTAATAATCTATTTTCAGCCGAATTTGTTAATTTACAAAGGTTTATTATATATATATATATATTTTTTTTTTTTTAATTTTAATTTTTTAAATTTTTTATTTTAAGTGACTTGAATAGGAATGCTGAGGATTATGGCTTCTATAAAAACGAACCAGAAGCTGACATCGATGATGAAAAAGACGATAACGAAGGCGAGGAAAGCGATGTTTTGGATTTAGAGAAGAGAGCACTGGACCCCAAATCGCGGAAAGGGCACCCCCGCAGGTCTCTCATCCGTCCAAAAGTAGGACAAGCCCTATTGCGCCGCCGCCGTTCAGGAGTACGCCGTCGGCGTAGAAATGGCTAAAGGATGTCAAACAGTTGATATCCATGAAGTCGGTACGTGTTAAGTCCTCAGCTGCCTCCAAGTAACTTTCCTTCAAATATTGTAATCAATTCAGTAGGGGAAAAGCTTTGTTAAGGGTTCTTAACTCTCACATGATTGGCCTTGGTTTGATTACCTTACCCGGTGTCACATTTTGATGTAGTTTGTTTCCTTTTCTCTTACCCATTCCGAAGGATTTCAAATTGGTTTAATGGTTTTCGTAGTTTCACCCCCCTCCCCCATTTCCTCCTAACAAACAACGCACTAGTAATTCCAAATTAATTGGGACTTCTTCAATGCATGGTTTCATGCGACTGAGGTATTTAACTGTTTCACATTATACGGTTGCACAAGCTATAATGAATACTAAACCATTGAATAAAACCCAGTCGTAGGTTATCCTCACCTTTGCAATTAAAGACATTTATTATACATATACTGAACACCAGGGGACCCTGCATTGTCCTTTGATTAATAAATTTGTCTTCATTAATATTGGATCCTTTTATATCAACAGATTTATGAAGACCGTCCGAGCTCGAAGACTAAAGAAAAATTTAATTTTAAAATCCTTCTCTGCAGTAATGCGTGGCCATGACAAAGAAATATTATTTAAACCCTAGCTAAGCTTAGAAATAGTTTTGTTTTCATTATACTAGAACATTTCCTTTCAAAGTAATGTAAACGTGGGCAATAATCAAGAAATGTAATTCGCGTATTTTTGTGCTCAGTTGAGTGAAACTTTCCTTTCTTTTTTCAAGCGTATTGACTCCTAGTATCGAAGTCATTTTCCTACACGGTCTAACAAGATGTCATCACTTAACGGCGACAAAATAAAAATTGTATATTAACTAAATTGATTAAGATCAGTTATTTAGGGAAAACAAAGTTAGAAAATTTCAAAGCGGGTCATTTGGAGAAAAAAAAAACATGTTAATTGCTTTGTCAGGAGGGTAGGTAAAAGGAAAAAAAAATAAAAGAGCTTTAATTTCCCCAAGAGGATACAAACTGCAGATATTCGAATTTTAAATTTTAATGCCACACTGTGAGCGTTATGTGCTAGGTCCAAATGTATGAGGAGTTCATTTCATTCGACATATGATATCCTTTACCAGCAAACGATACAAATCTCGTTTTACATCGGCGAAGATATATTGAATAAGATGTATTCTCTCATTGTGAATATCGGTAACATGTGACATTTCCAAACGCGGAATACGATTGCAAGAGAGAAAGAAAAAAAACCATGATGAATTGGAATAATTTCGATAATCAAAATTGGCGTGAAAGGTTCTTCGAGAATGGAGGGTTCTCAATGGTTTACTTATGCTTGGAAAGTTTTGGGGGAGTGTTGCATGACATTCCAATTCTAAGACTACAAAACCCTTACATTTGAACCGCTAGAAAAGTCAATTAATCTAAAAAGTGTTACTTCCCATTATAATAAAATTCGGATACAACGTGCACTGCCATTGGTTGAAAGAGCGTGCTCTAAAGCTGTCACGCCATCTGCCAAATTGTACTATGTTCGACTTTTTCCGGGACTTCTTTTTAGCTTTTTTCCGATAATTGAAAGTGACATTTCGGAATAAGCGAGCTGGCAAGTAGCAACAGAAGAACCAAACAAAGGTTTGTAAACATACCAGGCGCCGTAATTTACGTTATTAAAACGTGAGCAGATACGAAAACCCACAAGGGAAAAACAAAATTGACATT